GCCACGCTCTCAAATTTCAAACAATTGCGATTTCAAAAATGCAATAAAATTTAAAAAAGGGTTTTCACGTGATTTTGGCTAAAAAATTATTTTCCTTACTGCCAAATTTAGATATATGGTCGAGTATTAGTCTAAATTTAGTAATGATGGACAAAACTAGTCTAAATTTAGCAATGATCCTAGCGCTAAAATTTCTCATGAGCATAGTAAAGTACATGTTTTAAAAAAGAATAAAACTCTACAACAAATGATTTTTTTGAGAAAATCTCTTTATTACATTAAAACTGAATACATATTCTATCCACTAATAGAGCTATTTTTTCAAAAGATAGGACAGAAAATGACTTCTATTACTTTTAAAATTTTGCCCAAAATTTAGGAGGTCTTTAGACCAAGCCAACTATATGATTATTTGAATTTATATTGTGCTACATTAAATTTCAATTGTTTTAAAGTACAGTCGTACCTCGTTTATATCCCCACTTATTTATATCCCATCTTTAGTTGTATCCCCAATATGTGCTGGAATAAATTTCCCTATTACTATTGTAAAATAATATAAATATACCTTGTTTGTATCTCATTAGTTATATCCCTATACCCACATTTTCAAAATTTCTTACATTAAATCCAAAATATTCACATTTTATATCCCAATTCAATCACAATTTATTGTGCAACATAAAATAAAATTTCTGCATTTCCAAAAAAGTTTTTAGAACAAAGTGATTTTGCTACTAGGGAAGATATTAGATAATATAATAAAACGTTTAAATGTGTCTACAAATAGAAAAAAAACATCAATCTCCAATTACTGGATTTTATTAATAAATTTAAATAATAAATAATAATAAATAAAATAAATTTTATTAATAAATTTTCAATAAATTATCACATGATGGATTTTAGTTATATCCCATAAACCTCTCAAAAAAAAGGGGGGATATAAACGAGGTATGACTGTACTGAGAATGCAGAAAACACACAATAGGTAAAACTGTTTTTTAAGTGACAATTTCAAAAAACTATCCCTTAAATGGTTAAACAGCTATTGATAGTAGAGTTGCCTTCTAAAACTCACAAGTTAGAATTATTTGAAATTAAAACCATTCTAAACTAGTTTAGAAAATGAGCCTAAATTCCTAAACTGTTCAAAACTCCTAAACTGTTTTCAAAACTCCTAAATTGTTTCAAAACTCCTAAACTGTTTTCAAAACTCCTAAAAATCCCAAACCAAACAAATTCTTAATCTTTATTTTTTATTTTTGCTTATTGTTGTTATCACTCATTATTTAATAAAGTTTTTTAAAAATAATAATTTTTTACATAATTTTGGGAATTGCATCAAAATCAAATACTTCTGGACACCACAAGTCACAAAAGCCTTTAAAAATTGAATGATCAATAATTCCTGCACATTTTTTAATAACATTTCATCTTTATCCCAAATGGTTATGTATTTGCTTTATATGCTGCACTTTCTAAGGATTCACTTACACTATCTCTTTCTGCGACATTTTTTGATATATTCACATTCATGTGCTAAATGGACTTGCAGTTTATTAACAACTCCATTACTCCATTTACAATTACATGTTTTGCATTTGGCTCCAAAATGTCCTGAATATTTCGAAGGATAACATTCAAAATGTTGTCAAACTGCATTTTTGAACTATTTATATCTACATCAATATTGTGATTAAAAAAAATTTATGTATATTTTTAAGAAAAAGAAAATTATATTAGAACAAATAAAAAGATTATTATATTTTTATTGATTTAAACTAAACCAATGATTTAATTAATTAATTAATTGTCAGGACAATAATATCAAATAAAATGAATTTTTGATAAAAACGTTGGTCACTTGAAGAGAAAATGATTTTGATCGCGGAAAATTAAATCGGAAGTGATTTACGAAAGTTGCACAAAAAGAAAATCGGAAAAATTCATTGATTCACGAAAAATATCAGGAGTTTCGAAAATAACACACCAAACAAAATCCAGACCATTTTATTTTACAGCCTTCTTCCTAACATCAGAGCCCAAATACAATTTCAGGGCCACCAACCCTGCACTGAATTGTAATCTCCTGTGCTTGAAACAAGTTGAAGATTCTTGTTGCTTTGATAGATCTGGATGTTTACATGGCACTACAATTCATCAACAGAATTGCGAATTGATCACAGGACCATTCTTACCCTAGAAGTAGGATCGTTGCATGCAACTTTTCAGTCAGCATGCCAGCAGCCTTCTCTGGTCTGGGAAGATTGGTGAAAATGTCATTGACAATTGATGCAGTTTCAATAAATCCCAGAGCCACGCCTCCCCCCGAAAATTTAACAACATCATTGTATCATCAGGGCACACTAGTCAGATTAGCCTTGTGTACGCAAGGGAATGTGTGTAAAGTGTTCAAGGTAACGTGCATGCTTCAATGTCTGCCAATTTCCGATAATCAAACATCTCATATTTAAATTGTTTGTTTTTCAACGGTGTGCTGCCTTGACATCTTGTTATATATTTATCTTAATATTAATATTGATTACACAAAGCAAAATACCAATCATTCATTTGTTACCATCTTGGTAAGGATTTTATTACCCAGAAAGTTTTGCTCCGCGTTTTGATTTCAATCAAAATATTTATAAACTAAAGGACACCATATTATATCAATACAAATAAAAAAAGAACCTCTGTCTTCAGACCCAAACCATACCAAACAATATCATTCACGTTTTGTCATTGAAAAATAAATAGTTTTTCCAATAAAAAAAATCAATTCGTGTCAATAAAAAAAAAACATGTGCTACACCAAGTGCCAATAATAATTAATAATAATATTTTGTTCAAATTAAAAAAAAAAAAATAAAAAAAAAATGCGTAAAGAGAAGCAAAAAAGAATTAATAGAATTCGTTCTTGAGATTGCTGGGTAAGTGTTTATCATAAGAATGATGGTGGTGGTTATCGCCACTCGTCGTTACTCTAGTTAATAATAAATTTTTTTTTTTGAATTTTTTGAATTTTTAAACGCGTTTTTTTTAATTTTTTCAAGAAAAAAAAAAAAGAAACAAGAGATCCCTGGGTACGAGTAAGTGTCATTTATCATAAGAAGTGTGGTTATCGCCACTCGTCGTCACTCTAGTTATATTATTATTATATTAGGAAATCTTATTTTTTACCACAAAAATATAATTTGAATGTTTATAAATATTCCATTAGAAGTGAGCAATTGCATTTTTTTGCAAACATATCACTTGAAATAATTTTCCAGATATTTGAAGATTCTCCGTCATCTAGTTTGTTGGCACTATCGTAAACATGTTCAAGTTTCCACTAATAAATATGTTGCAACCCAACACATTTGGAAGAAGTCAATATTAAACTATTTCAAAGGATTAAAACAACCTCCAACCTGGGATGAATTACGATATATCAGGTTTTTCTTTGCTTCACCTCAAACCTGCATGCGTTGTGGTGTGATGGACATCAAAGCATGAATTTTTAGATGCATGTTACTATATTGCAAAGGGGAAGAACCAGTTATAAAAATTCACCAATCAATTTTGTGCATGTTGCACAAAATTTTTTAAAATTTGTGCGTGGAAAAATGTAATAGTGCACAAAAATTTTTGTCACATTGTGCACATGAATTTTATACACTGGGAAGATATTTATTCACTAAAAGAAATGGAGTTTCATCTTAATATTTTTCATGCTCCATTTGTCAAGAATATTTCATCAGTTGCAGAACATGACAAGGTCCAAGTGTGTTTAGTTGTAAACCATAATTCTAAATTATAAATGTTATTTTTTATATTTTATTGTATTGCATCAATTGTAAATTTCTTAATAATATTTTATTAATATATTAATATATTAATTTTAACTCAAAATATTAACTGGTGCATTCAAAAATATACACAACACATCTTTAAAATAAAATTTTAATAAAAGAATGAAAGTGCAAAAAAAAAAAACTAAGATCAATTAATTTGTATGACCTGTAAGAAGAGTTAAATTAATATACATGGTGAATCAATCAATTCAAGTATAAACAAAATAAAACCATTTAATGAAGATAAATATATAGGAGGCTCAATTTTTTCCAAATCAAAAATATCATTCAACTTCCACTTGGTTTTTTTATTAAGAAGTGGATATCTTGTTTTCACAATCTATTGTTTGACCAATAAACAATCCTAATTCATCATTATAATTATCATCCTCTGTTTACTCCTACTCTTCCTACTCCTACTCCTCTTCTTCTTCTACCATTTCAATCCATTCATTGATTAAATTTCTCCACTCACAAGGTGATTCAATATCATGCTCAGATTATTCAAAATCATTATTAAAAAAATCATCATTTCTATCATCATCATCATCATCAGAAACCATAAACAATTTACCTGTTTGTTCTGGAATTGCAATACCTAATACCTGTAGTTTTAAATTTTTTGTTTGAATTTTGAATATTGTCTAATTATTCTATCTAATCTCTGAAATTCTCCTTTCATTTGACTCACAGCAAAGACCTTTTCAAACTATAAGAAAAAAAATTAGATGATTTAATAATTATAGTCAAAAAATATATAAAAAAATATAAAATTCACATAAATCCAAACAATTTCTTTTTTTTTCTGTGGAAAAATCCATTATAGAAAAGAGCCTTTCCACAGAAACAGTATTTATGCATATTGCAAACTTTGATAGAAAAAACACTCAAATCTGGTGTATAAGCTGAAACACCGAAACAAAAGCCCAAAAGCCAAGTACACCATCATTAAATTGATTTAATGAAATATTGTGAGAAGGAAAATTTTGACTATGATAAGAAAAAATTTTGTAATTTGCCTAACGAAATATCAAGAGCTTTTTTAAACCATACACAAAATATATCATCCATTCACTGAGTTTTGCAATAAAAATATTGTATTATCTTGAAGGAAAATTTTGTCACAATATTCAGGATAAAGAATTAAGGATAATAATAATAATGGCTACTCCCATATTTGCCAATGTTTTTCTAGACAAATAATCATTCTTGCACTTAAATTTTGGTCAGGATATTCCTTCTACATCTTGTAAAAATAGGCAAAACAATGTAGTACATCATGGAGACAAGCATTATCTGTTTGTAATTTGTTGAGTGCACCACAAAATGGAAGCAAAAGCTTTTCCAATCTTCATTAGCAATTATTCTACAGGTTTCAAGTTGCAATTCTCTATCACTCTCATCATTTCCTGTATAATTATCATCTGCTTCAAATTCACTAGGAGTGTATTTTGAAACAAGCATCTAAATAAATATAAGAATTAATTCTTATTGAATAAAAAACCTTTAATGATATTTTTAAATACATTTAAAGCAAACTTAGTTCTGGTAATGAAAATTCCAGCGAGCAGCACATGGAAGGAGAAGTGTAAAATATTTGTTATATTTAAACTTTTGTTCATCACATAACTTTGCCATAAAGTAAACTGATCTGTTTAAGAAAGAAATAATTTGAATTGTCTTTTCAGATGAAACAACTAAACTAGATGATTCTTTATAATCTCTCCCACAATTAAATTGGTTTGATGTGCAAAGCAAGGACCAAAAAAACATCATGTCATTCTGGTGCCAGTCATTTTCTACAAAATATAAGAGTTAAACTTGCAAATAATTGAATAAAAATTTATTTTTAAAAAAAGTACCATGCTTGCTTGATCTTATGATGCTGAATCAGTAATCATAGCATTACATTTGATATTTAGTTAATCTAACTTGCCCAAAAAATTCAATGATAATTCTTTTATATTTTGCCATTGCAAACAATTTCTACTCACATCTTCTCCCCAAATTAAAACTTGTTCATGTGAAGTGATTAAAACTGAACCTAAAATCTCCTGCTTTTTAATTTTTTCCACCCATCAAAGCCTATAAAAATCCTTCTGTGCAGTATCAATTAAATTATTCCTATTTTATCAGAATTACTAGCTAATATTTTACAGTTTGGTAATTTCAATCCTGGATTTGCAAAATTAGATAATATTTGAATTGATTTTTTGTCAACCCATCTGAATTATCAACCATTATCTATGGTAGAATCCAATACAAGCTTTTCCCAATGCTCTTTATCTTGTTTAGAAAGAGGAACAGAATGAGCAAAATAATCACTTATTTTTCTTTTTTTATTACCTGATTTTCTACAGACAAGACTGTTGATGAACCTGATAAAACCGAAAGGCTTGAAGATCCATTGGTGCATATTGAAGATGAGGAATCAAGTTCAGGACCTCAAAATATAAAATTGTAAGTTTCATTTTGCTTAATAATTATATTTATCTCAATACTAAAAAATTACCACCATCATATTGATTATTCTCATCTCCAGGAAAAAGAATTTTCTCTTGTTCATGTTCAGTATATTATTCCTTGAATATTGTACAATTTTTTAAGTGAGAAGTTACCAATTTTTTAGTATTTGTTAATTTAGTTTTACAAAAACAATAAAGTGCCTAATGATTCCTTTTCGTTTAATACTGTGATTATATCCAGTATTATTTTTAGAATTTTTTTTGTGAAACCGGCGATTAATGTGTGTTCGTCCAATGGTTGTAAAACATAATAAAAATTTGGATGATCTACATCATGGTAAAATTCGAATTTACATACATATGTAAACTCGATAAGTCGGTCTCGCGATAAGTCGGCCAAAATTTTCACCACTTTTTCTTAATATTTATTCAATAAGTCATCGAGTTTACATATATAGCAAAATTTTATCCCTTAAACGAAATTGCGTACGCAATTTGCAATTGTGATTCTCATGTACAATTTAGTCAACCATTCTTAACATTGATCGATATTTGTGAAAAGAGTGACAAAGAAGAAGTAATTATTTATATATGATTATTTCGTATTAATCTGAAATTTGTTACTTAGCTCACCGAACAAACTTATCAATTGGTGAAGAAAATTTTTCTCGAGCTTTAAAGTTTGGAAAATTAGAGCCTTACATGATTTAATACAAAATATTGCCAAATTATAAAGTATAAACTTAGGGTGATTTTGTCACTATTACCGCCATGCTATTACTCAATAATAGACATTAAAGCTTGCACAAATGGAACTTAAACATGTACATTATTTGAGAGAATTATTAATGATTAAAGTGAATTTATTGCTGAAACCTTTCACAACATTGAAGTCTTGATTTTGGTTGATTGTGTGTACAGAATCATTGTTAAATATGAAACATGATGACTAATGATTAATAAATTATGAAATATAAGCCCAATGGATTGTATAGTGAAGCATGTAAATTGTCACAAAAAAACTTAAATTTGTAAACCTCCATTTATTGAACAATTTCAACCATAATTACTTCTATGCTTCTTTACATATCACTTGAAACTTCTTTAACAAGAAGTTTTTCTTTTGAATTTAGTTCAAACAATGTGATAAATAGCATTTGATTTTACCCTATTTATCATCCCGGTTTATTTTTACATACCAGTTGTTTTAGCCCTACATCCCGGTTTCTCAAAAAAAAAGTCAATTTTTGATAATACCAATTCAAATATAATCACCCGAGGTTACCTCCACTAATTTTTTCTAAAAGAAGGAATGAAACCTGTCAACAAAGTTAAGGCTCGTGGCTAATTTTATTATTAAAATTTCGACGTCGATTACCAAAAAATTCCGGAACAAACACTTGAAAATCGTGACAAATCCTTGATTGGTATGGTTGATGAATCATTAATTAAATATTTGTTGAGTTGTTTTTATCAAGTGTCCAACGATCACAACGATCAAAAGTGTTGATCGAGACATAATGTTTCATGTGTTGAGAAGAAATAATAATTTTTCACGATTAATACTTTTTAGCAACCATCAAGATTGTACTTGTCATTCTATACGAGAAGAATCAAAAAGTACACATTATTATTGTGTGACATAATGCTCACTTTGTTGGCATGCCCCATTACAGTCAAACCTTGTCACAGAGGATGAACGGAACACTTGAGAAAATTTTATTCAAAATCCGTTGTGACAAGAATTTAATTATAGTCCGGTGTGACAAGGTTTGACTGTAATAATAATAACACTATCTATATTATCATTAATTCTTAAATATTTATTAATCAAAGAAATTTACAAATAAATAGAAATTATTTGATTCTAAATAAATAAATTATATGTATAAACAAAAGTAAAAGATAATATACAATAGATTTCTCTTTTTTATATTTCTTTAGAATTTTTATTTAAAATGACGGATAACCTGAAGGTGGTATTCTAATCAATTTCCATTTTTTCTCATTATTTTCCCAAATTGTCCAACCAACTTCTTTCAATATATCAGATTTTATATCAAACAACTTCTCATAATCTCTAGTACTATCATTGGTAAGGCTATTCTCAACAAAATATTTATTAATGGCTTTAAGTGCATTACCATAACGTTTTGCTTGGCGCTCCCTACTAATGTAAACAAGCAAGTTTTTTATATCTGAAGTTGGTGGAATAGAATCTAACCATTGTATTAAAGATTTATAAGTTTCTTCAAATCGTTCCAATAAACCATTTTTATTTGTTGCAGCAGCTTTTTGTGCAAGAACCATTAAAGCCTGAGCTTTAGAACGTAATGCTAATACTGCCACTTTCTTTTTTTCATCATTCTCCTTTTTGTTTTTTTTGGCCGATTCATTAACGTTTGTTTCTTGTTTAACTCCATAATATCGTGCCAATTCAAGCAAATCAATCTTTGATAATAATTCATCTGCTGTATCTATAACTATTTTTGCATTTTCTACTGTTAATTCTGTGGTATTAGTATTAGAGGTAGAAGATTTGGCAGTTTCCAAAAATATTTCTAATTTAGCTTGATAAAGTGGTAAATGCTTTGGATATTTATCTTCAAGCTCTGAAAGTAGATCAGTAAGATAACTGGAATCAATTGGAAGTTTTTTTAAATTGGCAATTTGTACATCACGAATTGCTTCATTCAAATTTTCAATTGCCTTTTCTTCTTTAGTTTTCTCAATTGGTGGTGGTGGTATTTCTGTTGATTGAGCAACATCAACATCATCAGAACCTGAATCTTTCCCAGGATCACCATCGCTATTATTACCAGCAGTAGCATTATTATTATCACTTGGTATTAGTTCTTTAGGTTTGATTGGAGCAGGTGGAATAATTAAATTAATAAAATTTTGACCGCCATCAATTCTATTTGCAGAATTATTTATAAAATTCAATTTTCCTATTAAAATATCACCAGGTTTTGCATCTTTTGGATAAGATGAATAGTCATTAGGTGAACCAATAAATAATGCTTGTCTAGAACCTTTTTCCAATGCCAATCTACCAACTGTAGATTTACTCGAAGTGAAAACATCCGAGATTTGATTATATATGTCCAGGCTAACTTTTTTTGAAAGATTAAAGTCTAACAAACATACAGTATTATTTAATTTTTCCAAGATTGGTTGAGACTGATGACGAACTTGTGCTCTAATCACATAATCACCTTTACTTTCTAGTTTAAAAGTGCTCGGATAAATGTCAAGGTACCCGATAACTTTTCTGTTGGCATCAAATACTAACATATATTACAAATAAAATTAAAAATTAAGATATTTTATTTTCCAAAAAAAAACAAATAAAAATTAAACTTACTTATGGCAAAAAAATCCTCGAAATAAGAATCATACAATAAATGATTGAATGCTGGAAATCTTGGCGTGAATGATAAATTTTTATCAATGGTAGTAAACTTGTAAGTAAGTATTAAACCAAAAGATCGCCTAGAAGAAGGAATGATATCTCGAGTTGGGCTTAATGGTTTAAGTGACATTTCAGAAGGTCTTATAGCTTTACGGAGAACATCTATGAAATAAAGAAATAAATGAGTAAATAGATTAAATTATTTTACTATTAATTATTATTTATTTTTACCAAGAGATATGGATGGATTTATTTCGTCTTCTCTCCTAATTGGAGCAGTAATTTCCAAACGTGTGAAAGGACAACCACCGTTAACAAAAACAGTTTCACCTCCATTTGTAGTGGTGTTGGTGATTTCAATTCCATGAAAGACAATTTCAGCTGATACACTGCTATTTCCTAAACTTGACCAAAATTGAGCTAAACAAAACTAAAGTAAGAAAAAAATTTGACAATAATCGTTACTAATAATACTAATAATTGCCAATGCAGCTCAATCAATCAGTCGATCAATTACTAACCTCCATCGTAACGCCACCACGGACAACAAATCTTTTCCTTTCAATATGATAATCATCATCACCACAATCATTAAAACCAGTTTTATTAATAGTAAAAAAATCTTTTTTCTCATAAGAAGTGAATCTTTTTTGTGGCAATAATTGAATTGTGTGTAGCAACATCCGTGTTGGTGTGGAGGATGGTGTTACGGAAAATTTCAAAGTCACATCTATTATAATAAATAATAATAAATGCGCGTGAGTATGAATATATATGTTACATCAACCTACATGTATTTAATGTTCAATTATAATATTACTATTTTGATTTGGTACCTGCAAATGTTGCACCTTTTGGAACTCTCAAAAATCTTCTTTCAATATGACCAGGCAAAAATTTTAAATTGTCATAAACAATTTTTGAATTATCTAAAAGTTCAGGCTTGGCAACTGTAATTGGTATTTTAAATAGTGGACCACGTTCTGAACATGTTGTATCATAGCCCTAAATTAAATAATTAAATGTGAATAATTATAATTATAAATATAAATATATTTGTGTTTGAATAATTACTTGAATTTCTGCATAATATAATTCACCAGGCGTCAACTGTGTAGGATCAACTTTAACATCAAAAGTTCGCCCTAAACAAACAAACAAAATAGAAAACATATTATGAAAAAATATTGATCAATCCTTTGAAGTTTTTCCAACAATATATACATATATTATACCTTGACTTCCCAAAAATAAAAAATCAGGTGAACGAACCCATGGACGTGTACTAATTAAAGCCAAACGACTTTCAAAATCAAATTTTTTTGTGTTATTTTCACCAGATGTTGGTTCAATTTCTTTAATAAATTTTGGTTTAACTTCAACTGAAATTACTTGTACACTTGATGTTTCGTTAGCTTCTCTCAAATAAATACCACGTTTATATCTTGGTCTATCAGGAATCAAAATCTTCAATTTAAGAAATTAACGCGAAAAAAAGAACAACGAAAAAAAGAGTTGATTCGATTTTTTCTTAAAAAAAGGAAATATTAATAATAATTAATTAGGTATATAGATAAATCACCTGAAAAGTTTGATCTTGATCTGAACGATCATAAAATTTCTGAAGATAATCCCATGCTTTTTCAACTTGAATCATGCCAACATCAAAGGTTTCATCAACAGATTTTGCACTATTAACAATAGCATTTTTTATTCTATATGGAGTGTACTTTTTATTTTGTGCCTTAAGACCAGATAATAATAGTGCAATACAGCCAGTTGCATTAGGCGAAGACCTATAATTAATAATAATTTTTTTATTTAATTATTCCTGATGTGGAAAAAATGAAAGAATACTAAGGTTAACTACATAGAGGTTCCATTCATTAATTGCGATTTTTGTAAACAATAAGGTGGAGTTGATGCGATTGCACTATAATTTAAGGAATATTAGAAATTAAAATTAAAACCATCTTATTTTTTGTATTTAATTAAATTGTTTTGACATAGAAATAAAATAAATAAATACCCTCCAGGAGCATAGATAGTTACACCTACATCACCATCAGTAGCTGGACCTCGAGAACTCCATGTATAGGCCCGTTCAGGAACAGAATCAAGTAGAGCATATTCAGCTTTAACCATAGCATGACTAACGTATGCACCAACACTAATCATGTCTATTTAAATAATAATAATATTTATTAATTAACACCATAGATATATATGTGTGTATTAATATAATGATTAATGTAATATATACGCACCGCTAGTAGTACCACCAGGAGAACCGTTAGTAGTTAATGCCGGACCATTATTACCAGCACTACAAGCAAAAATACAACCATATTTTCCAATAACTTCATCGCGAATCAAATTAGAAAAATGGCCGTAATTTGGCACAGCGGTAACCTCGCCGTAACTCATATTAGCAACATCGGCTTTAGTATTGACTAAAGCCATGGCTGCTCTTGCTAAACTAGTTCCTGTCTCCATACTTCCCAACCGAACATCACCAATTTTAAGTGAAACGATCTAAACAATAAATTGCATTTACATTAGTTATGTATATATTTATAATTAAATAAAAGAAAGAAAAATATAAAATCTTACCTGTGCTCCAGGCGCAACCTAAAATTTTGTCATAGTGTGAGAAAACAAAATTTGAACAAAAACAGATTTACAATAATCATTACATTAAATTTTATTTTTTAATTAAATTAAATACCCCATTTAATGTTGGCTCATCAGGGAAATTTGCCGCAGCAATGGCAGCAACATGAGTGCCGTGAGTGCTCGAAACCATTACAATGCTGTTTATTTTTTTCCAATAAATTAATTAATAATAATAATAATGGTTATAATGGATATTATTAATATTATTAAAATCACCTAACAAGATTTCCTTCATCATAAATGTTGACCGAAAAATTAAGTAAATCTTCTTGACTAAATGTATGATATTGTCTTTCTTTCCTATAATCAGTTAATAATGGACCACCTTAAATTTCGTGAAAAAATTTTATTATTCATTAACAAAAATCCATATACCAATTAACAAATAAAGTAAAATAAATACCTCTTAAATCGCCAGATTCATCGATATCTATAACAACACGCCAATCATTTCCATCAAAAAAGGTAACGACATCAAAAATCATACCAGGATCTTCATAGTTCCTGAATAAATCTTTTAGAACGTCTAATCTAGCTTCAAGATCAGATTTAATTAAAACATCGGCTTCAGATGGACCGGAAGATGGTGGGTGTTCTTCTTCCCATAAAGCAAGTTTTTGTTGAATTTCCGTTATATATTTTTGATGATCAACTTCGATCCTTTGTTTTCTTTCCTAATTAAAAAATCAATAAACATGCATATTTTACGTAAATTAATATTAATAATAATAATAAATTATCAATGTATAATGTATTTTATATTATGTTAATACTTTTTGTAATCTTGAAACCAAAGGTTTTGGAAACATTTCAATAGCTCTTTTCATTCCAATATGAAATTCATCAGATGGATTATTCCAATCAGGATCAATGATTAAAGTACGGCCTGATAAACCCTGAATGGTGTACAAAACTTCACTTCCTCCATCTTGAATTATAGATTTAACAATGGTTTTTGTGATTACATCGCCTGATTAAAAATAAAAATATTAGGAATAATTAAGAATATTGTTATAATATTTGTAAATAAATATATGTGTATTTACCAGCTCCAGTACAATCAATCAAATCAATGATTTTTGGTTTTCCTTCAGTAGTAACCTAAATATAGAAAAGGAACTTTCAGCATTACTTTCAACAATAAATAATAATTATTTATTATTTTTTATATACCTGAAGACCGGCAGCACCAGGATCAACACCAGTATCCAATATTGCAATAATAGTGTCACGGCCATCATATTCAGGATGTTTTTTAATGAAAGAGGCAGCTTCAGTTTCCTTTAGTTTTAGGATGATGTAAAGAAGAAGAAATAAATTAACGCGCCCAAACTTTTTTATTTTATTTTTGTTTTTATTTTTTTTTTTTTACTTACTTCTTTTGGAAGTAAACCAAATGTAGGAAAATCAGGAATTGGTTTTGTTGTTTTAATTGTCATTTTTTTATTTTTTTCTCCAATTTCTGTATCAAGTATCATTCATTTAAATGAAAAAATTATTTATTTTTTTTTTATTTTTTCAAAGTTCAAAAAAAATTTAAAATCAAATAATAAATTTAATATTTATTATATAATATAATATTTGTAATGATTACATATTGTCGCCAGCATTTTATTATTACACACCTTTTACTAATTCGCCGCAGATGATGGCCTTTTGAGTATTACTGAAATTTTGAAAATGGTTGATTAATCAATATGATTCAATATAATAATCAGCATAATAATGATTTACATACTTTGAATAATTAAGGTATTGTCGTTTAATAGTGTGTTTATGATTGTGATTACGAGAATGAAAATATTGCTTATAATAAGAATATATAGGGCTTCTATTCTTATAATTATGATTAATTCGCAGAAATAAGTTATTATTTAATAATATCGATGAAATATTTTTCAATATTAATATACTTTCAATGTTATTTTTAATCATTCACATAATCAAAATTTTTTTTTCAAAATTAAAATCAGATTGATGATTCATTTCCATTCCTTGTCATGTGCCATCGTGTGACATCGATAAATATATATATAACAATAATAATAATAAAGTTCATAAATTTTTATGGTATGTATAACGTCGATCACTGCAAATTTGAAATATAAGCAATTACTGTCATTTGATACATTTATTTTAAAATCATAAATGATATATAATACCGTTATGCGAAATCACAATCCTGAACATTTACCTATTATATATATATATTATAAACCGAATAATTAAATTATTATTATATATTAAATAAATGAAGTATTATAAATATTTAAAATGAAAACGTCGATTTCTATCTAATTGATAAAAAACAAACACTGCTCTTTACAATTTATTATAAAATTGTAATATTAAAAAAAATAGACTTTTTCATTGGTAATAAATTGCTACATTAAAGATTTGCCTCTAATAAAACTTTGTGGATATGAGTGACTGCTGGATGGCAGAAGTTTAAACAATAATCTATACTTGGTTTTACATATAAAAGTAAAGTTTATCGATTAATTTGCCCCGCTGGATGGCAAAAGTAGAAACTATGGTTATTTTTCTTTAATTTATCTTAGACTGAGAGCTATTTCCAATTGTTCACACATTCACTGAATTGTAATATCTTGAGCTTGAAACAAGTTGCAGATTCCTAATATTACAACTCTTCAGAATGCTGCAGCCTAGGTGGCAATTTCTTAGTTGCAGAGCCATCTTTACCTTAGAAGTCTGGCTACTTTTTGACTAGCATGCTTATCCGGATAATGTCAGTTCAGGTGCTGCGAGGGAAGATCAGGATTCACGAAAATGTCTTTGATAATGATGCAGCTTTAATAAATTCCAGGGCCACACACCCCCTGAAATTTGGTTGTATCATTGTATCATCAGGAGATGAGGTCAGATTAGCTTTATGCACACGATGAAGATGAGAATTACTGTAATATTCAAAGTAGTGTATTTCAACATCTGTAAATTTTCAAATTAACTATAACAGTTTTCCCTCTTCAACAATAATGTTTCCTTGACCTTTGACACTTTCTTGTGATTTATTATTATACTTAATATTAATGATGATTAGCAAATACACCAACCATTCATTCATTAGTTTGATATAATAATTACATAGAAGACATGACAAATCTTGCTCCACATTTTGATTACAATCAATCATATTCGTAATAAGATATTTATAAAAAGAGAAGATGTCAATACAAAAAAAAAAGTACCTCTGGTTAGTTTTAACTCTTCTTTAAAATCAATTATACCAATAATACTTCTTCTAGTGTGTTTGTCGGCCGACTCCTTCGTCTAGAATAAATTGTTTTTCCAAAAAATGATTCGCGTTGAAAGAACACAACTCAATTAAATCAATGCAAGATACTTTGTAACAATTTAGAAAGAATTGGCAATAATAATACTATTACTATGGAAATTTCCGAAAGAAAAGGTTTCACAAAATTGATTGCTAATTTGAATTTTCACGCGCGTCAGGTCTTTTATCCTCCCAAACTTTTTGAAATGTTCGAGGGTTGTATTTATAATTATGATAAAAATATTATATCATTTAATTAAATCAAGCCTTTTTCAACAATTTGATCCCCTTAATTAATTAATAATTATCTTAATCTTTAACCTATTTTGTTATAAATATTTTTATTTTATGTTTCGTGACAATCGAGTTTTTGTCTGAATGGACCCATCTAACCGCAAATATATATAGTCACTCTTTCATTTGGTTACAAAAATCCTTTTTTAGTTCGCGTTCAAAAAATTCAAATTTTTTTTACAAAAATTGTATTTATTAAGAGTGCAAGTGGAGGGAGAGAGGGTCTATACAGTACGACAATGAATGAATCAGATGAAGCTAAGGCCAAATACACATGGAAATTCTGTGTCTAATAATGATAATAATATGATGTATATTATTAAATGAAAAAATCAATTTCAGCATATTTACTTTATAAAAAATTGTAAAATAAAAAATTTTAATTTTTATTTTCGTCAACAATTTTCAATGCCTTTTAATTTTGTCAAATCGTCAAAATAGCTTTTGGAAAGAAACTACCTTTAGTCGGTACTTTCATCACGTCGTATATCATTAGTCAATACATAAATATTCACGAAGACTTGTTTTTTATTAAACTCTCGAAATTTTTATTTTTTATTTTTTTAATTCAAAAAAAAAACAATCTTGATTGCATTGTTTTTTTTTTTCGATATTAAATTTAAGATATGTATAAGATATTGGGCACGCAACAGCCAATATTATAAGTAATAATGAATAAGAAAAGGGTTTAAAAAAAAGCAACAAGTATTATTAGAGCATGAGAACATTATTCTATTCTAGTTTAAAAAAATATATTGGTGATGATTATTCTAGTTAATTTGCTATATGATGATTGTATTCCATCAATATTCTAGAACTAGATGTCAAGAATATATTCTTTTTTGACTCAATGTAAAGAATTTGCATTGGCAGGTTTTGATATAGTTAGACATATATAAGGAATGAAGGGTTTATCCTTTACAAGGGAAACTCCTAGATGTCAGTGATCTACTTGACGACGTTAAATATAACGAATGACTTATTTTTTTTTTTGTAATCATTATTATGATTTATAACAGGATAATGATTGGAGTCATATTGAAAACTTAATCATCAATTTCTTGATCATTGCTATCCATTATTGTTAAAACAAGATGGTTTCCTTCTGGAGTTTATAACTCCAATAATCAAAGTTAGTGATAATGACTAAATTATATATATTTGTTTTGTACTTTTGTAATCTATCTTTTTTAATAGTGCAAGAAAGATAAATCAATTTTATGATACCTTCCAAAAAAAGTTTTGTAAAATATACTAACTAAAAAGTGGATTTATTTAAGTTTTTCCTATAATATCAACATCCCTATAGAGTAATAACCATATGAAGCTTAAAGTATTTTACACCCTCTTAGCCACTATAAGTCTTTTAAAAAATAATATGAGCTTTGAAGCTGTGTGTTTATGTAGAGAAGATCTTTCAATATGAAAAGATATTCATTAGAAAGCTTTAATGGAACAATTCGTTTTACTTTAATAATGGAGTTCGAGTTTACTATAATACATTGTTGGATTTCATCGGATGATCAGGGTAATCTGTCAGATTGCATTCAAAATTAATTTGATGGGCGGGTAGATAGATTTAATATAAATTGCATTTCAAATTAAATGTGACCTCTTAGAGTTAATAAATTTTCTGCATGACTGAAAGGTCATAGAAATTGGCAAGCAAGTTTTGCTAAAAATGTGATTTTTTATTTTTTTTATAATTCAAAGAGATTTCATCCCAAAATGTGCTTTGACTTGATTACAAAAAGTTGTATCATTATTCTTTTAGTGCCATAAATGACTTTTATATATGAAAAAGGTTGTATCATACTTTTTGTGCCACAGAATGAATTCAAATAATAATTCTATATAAAAAATTAAAGGGCTGTATGTAATATTTAAGACTTTACTATTCATTCATAGATCAGCAATTCCACATCTCTTTTCACTTTATCTGAATTTATTTATATGGTTCATTATCATTATTGTTATCCATTAGTATAATTAATGAAGTACTGTTTGTTATGCTGTTTGTTTATTAGGTTTTACAAAATCTATTGTTCACATGAGAATATGACCACAATTTTTTTTTATTATGGATATTAATATCTGCTTTTATAAATTGTGTGCTATTATAGCTTTCTAATGAAATCCTCCTCTCCCTCATATTGATGTAAAACTATAGCTATTCAAAAATAGCATGACATTTCACTTCAAACTAAGTTACCTTTATAAACTTGATGAATGGTTGAAAAGATGTAAAAATATCACAAGCTTTCGTGTGGGTGTGTGGATTGTTTGTTTTATCACATAGGAAAAAATGTAGGTAGGAGATCATCAGTCATAATACCAAAAAAGAGGTAATTGATTCCAAATGCGGTAATTTGGTTGATAATCATCCAAAAGAAGGAATAAATAACTAAAAAGGGTTTGTGGCGACGTCGATTACTTAAAATTTCGGAAAAAACATCTGAAAATCGTTTGTGTGATTGATGATGATGATCCGCTAAGTGTTAGTAGAAGTAGAGTAGAAGTAGAAGTAGTAATTGAAACCATTGCCATTATACTATTATTATATTATTTAGTTATTATGGAAGCGCCGATAAAAAAGTCTACAGCAATAATATCATTAGAACGTGAAAATTCTGATAAATTACTTAAAGAGAATAAAGTACTTAAACAAAAAGTCGATGCACTAGAAAAAGAAAATAAGTTATTAAAAAAATCCATATATGATTTATCAGTGAAGTATACAACGGTTGGTTATCATCAAAAAATAGGGCATTTTACAATATTTGATCAGGATGAACCAGTACAAGATGGCGGGAAAGAAATCAAGGAAATAAATTTGGAAAATTCAACTGG